CTTGGGGAGCCCCCGGGCGGGCCCCCCCCGGGCCCCCCCCCCCCCCCCAAAGCGGGACACGGGTGACATTCCCAAGGGCCTCGTTAATCTGCTGGGGACATTTTTTCCAGGCGGGAGAGCGGGGACAAAGCCGAGCCCGCGGGGCCCGGGGGGGGCACCCATGGGTCCCCTGGGCCCGGCGGGATGGGGCTTAGCGGGATTTGGCCAAGGCCGGATCCTAATTGGATTTGGCAGCAGGAGCCTTATGTAAAGGAGCACAAAGGGACCATTGGAGCGAGGGGGGCAAGGGGGGCCGGGAGGGGAAATGGGGGGCTGCACCCACTCACCCCCGCCTGTCTTAAGGTGGGTGCCCATTTTGGGGGACCCAGATGTCTGGGGACACGTTTGGGGGGACCCAGGGGGGGCTGTGCTCTGCCCATCTCCTTCCCATTTGGGGGGACGCAGGTTAGGGGGGTCTGTCACCCACCCACCTCCCCGCCTTCTGGGGAGACCCCCTCAGCTCCGGGGTGTGGGGGGAGGTTTGGGGGGTGGGGATAAATGGGGGGTCCCTGCGTGGGGCCCCACTCACCCTCGTACGTCCAGTGGGGACCTGCTGGGGAGAGCAGAGGCGTTGGGGTGGGGGCTCGGCTGAGCCCCCTGGCCCCACATGGGGGCACCTGAGGGGGTCAGGGGGTGCAGCCCAGAGCGGGATCTGCCGGGGGCACCCCGGGGGGACTCACCAGCGGGCAGGGCGGGGGCCAGGCCCCCCAGGAGCAGCAGCACACTCAGCATGGCGGGGGGCGAGGGGGGCCGGGTGCCACCGGCCCGGCCCTAAATACCCACCCAGGGGGACCGGCCCCCCCGGGGGGACGGGGAGGGCTGGAGGGGCCATGCCCGGGGTGTCGGGGTGAGGGGAGGGTGGGGAGGGGGCTGCGAGCGCTGGATTGTGGGGTGGGGGGTTTGTAGGACTGGGGTTTGCGGGCTGAGGGGTTTATGTGGCTCTGGGGGTCTCTGAGGTTTTGGGGAGCCTGAGGGGGGCCCCTGAGCCTTGTGGAGGGTCGTGGGGAGGGGTCTTGGGGTCAACCCTGAGCCTCCGGGGGGGAGAGCGGGGCTGGGGGCTCCGGCCATGGGAGGGATTTTGGGGGAACATTGAGGGGGGGTTTGGGGGCGCTCGGGGGAGCCCCGGGCCGGCCCTGCACGCGCTCCCCGGCCCCGCCCCTCTCCGGGAAGCCCCGCCCCGCGGGCGTTCCCCCGCGCGCCAGCGTGACGTCACACGGGGCCCCCGCCCCCACGTGGGGGCCCACGCGCCGCCCCGCCCCGGTTATGTAACACCGGGAGGCGGGGCCACCACGCCCATTGGCCGAGCCGCGCCGCCAGGATCGTCGCCCATTGGCTGAGCGCGCGGGGGCGGTGCCCGGCGCCGCGTGCCCCGAATCGCCACACAGCGGGGCGTGGCCAGAACCCCGCCCTCCGGCCAATCAGCGCCGGGCGGCGGCAACAAGCCAACGGGAGAGAAGGGGCGGGGTCTACCGGCGCGCAGCGGCCAATGGGAGCGGAGCGGGGCGGGGCCCGGCCCGAGGCACGTGCGGCCGCGCACGTGTCCGCGTGGGGCCGCCGCGGGCGGGGCGGGACCGGCACCGGGAGCGGGGACACGGAGACCGGGACACCGGAACAGCGGCACCGGGACACCGGCACGGCCACAGCGGCGCCTGCTCAGGGACAGGGACACCGGCACGGGAATCGGGGACAGCGATACCGGGACACTGATACCGGGACAGCGATACTGGAGCGGTGATACCGGCACTGGGTCAGGGACGGGAACAGCGACACCGGGACAGCGACACCGGCAGCAGCGCAGGTGCAGCCGCGTGCAGGTGGGATGCGGGGGGACCGGGGCTGGGGGGGAGGCCCTGGGGGTCCCAGCACGGCGGCAGTGATGGAGGGGGGGAGCTGCTGGGGGGTCCTGGGTGTCCTTGTATTGGGGGGAGAGGGGCGTGTCCTGGGGCTGGGGGTGTCCTGGGGCTCGGGGGTCTTCTGGCACCAGGGGTGGTCCTGGGTGAAGGGTCCCACTGCCAGGTGGGTCCCCGCACCCTCTCCCTGTCTCAGGAGATCCCAAATCTGCTCCCCCCTGTGAGGCAGCACTGGGGGTGCGGGGCTGACACCCCCGCGGGAGAACAGAGCAGTTCCTTGTCTTCCATTTTTGTCCGATTTCCCCCGGTGTTTCTCTCCCTCTCTCCCTCCCCCAGGCAGCCTCGGCTGGGTGACCCTGCTGGAGCTGAACGCAGCCAGAGGCTCCCCTGGGGGGGCCACCATGGAGCCCCCCGCCCGCGCCTGCTCCTGCGGCTCCCCTGCCTCTGACAGCGAGGCCGAGGCCGGCAGCTCCCCCCGGAGCCCCCCCAAAGCCGAGCGCAGCCGCAAGCGCCCGGGGGGGCTGGAGCGGGCACCCCCCGAATCGCCACCGGCACCCCGCGGGGGGAAACGCCCGCGGAAAGGGGAGGGGGGCGATGCCCCTCCCAGCGATGGAGATCGCCTCTTTGCCCAAAAGGTGAGCTTTTGGCACAAAACCCACCCAAGGAGGAGGTGGGGGAGGGCTTGGTGTACTAAAAAAAAGCTGGGCGTGCCTCAGTTTCCCCACCTGAAATGGGTGGGTGGGGATGAGAGGGAGGTCAGTGGGGTTTGGAGGGGGTGCTCGAGACCCCCTCCCCAGTGTGGCTGCAGCTCAGTCACCTCCTCCTCCCCTTGGCAGTGCCGGGAGCTCCGGGGCTTCATCCGGCCGCTGGCGGAGCTGCTGGAGGGGCTGCGCCGCGGCCGCTACGACAGAGGTGGGTGCCCCCCACACCTTCTGCCCCCTCCCCCAAGCATCTCTTTGCCTTTGGGGAGAATTCACCCAATTTCGGGCCTCCCCAGGGCTGAGCAGCTTCCAGCAGAGCGTGGCCATGGACCGGCTCCAGCGGATCATTGGGGTCCTGCAGAAGCCAGAAATGGGGTGAGTGTCCCCAGCGACCCCGGGGGGGGCGGGCACGGGGGTGTCCCCGCTCCGCAGACGGTGACAGGAGCTCTCTCTCCCCGCAGTGCTCGCTACCTGGGGACGCTGCTGCAGGTGGAGGCCATGCTGCGCCTCTGGTTCCCCCACGTCGCCCCCAAACCCACGCTGGAGCCGGCTCCCCCCGCGGCTCCCCCGCGCCGCCGCCCCCCCGCCGGTCCCCCCGGGGCTCCCCGGTGCCGCCGCCTGCCCGGGGATCTCCCCCTGGCCAGCCCCGCGGGGACATTACAGCAGCGGGGGTCCCCGCAGTGCCAGGCCGGGCCCCCCGAGTCCCCCCCGGCGCCGGACGTGTGACGCCCCCCCCGGCTCGGGGGGGGGAAATCTCATCTGCATTTCTCGGTTTTGCCTTTTTTTTTTTTAATTTTTTTTTTTTTTTTTTACCGGGGGGCAGTGAGACCCGCGGGGGGGGGGGACTGACCGGGGGGGCCCCGAACTCCCCCCCCCCAGAAGCCCCAAGCCCGGGGCGGCCGCGTGCCTTGGCCGGAGCGGAGCCCGGGGTTTTTTTACCGGTGGTCAGTGAGACCCGCGGGCGGGCGGGACTGACCGGGGGGGTCCCGAACTCCCCCCCCCCAGAAGCCCCAAGCCCGGGGCGGCCGCGTGCCTTGGCCGGAGCGGAGCCCGGGGCTGGGCCCTCCCGGGCTTGTGCCTTCCCCCGGCGGCTCGAGGGGGAGCGTGGCCCCCCCAGAACGGTGGGTGCGGACCCCCCGAGTGGGGAGGGCCCGGAGCCGGCCCTGCTGGAAGCAATAAACGCCGCGGGAGCGGCCGGGGCCAGCCGGTGTCGTGTCGTGTGTGCCTCGGTGGGGCGGGAGGGGGAGCGTTCCTGTCCCCCGGGGGGCTCAGAGCCGCCCTCGGTGTCCCCTCCGCTGCGGGATCCCGAGTGCCCGCGGTGCCTCCGGTCCCGGAAATCCCGGTAGTACCGGAAATCCCTCCCAACGGAAGTTCCGCCGTCAGCCACCTCCGGTGCGGGCGCGGAGCGGCTGCGGCTTCACCGGGGTCAGTCGGGGAGAGGAGCGGGAGAGGGACCGGGATCCTACCGGGAGCTGCCAGCCGGGGGCGGGGGAGGCCGTTCGTGGGCTGGGGGGTCCCTGCCGTGTTCCCTTCGGGCTCTCCGTGTCACCGGGAGCGGGGCGGGGAGCACCGGCCCCTCTCTATACCGGGGTCCCGGCGAGGAGGGACTGGTTCCCCCGAGCCCCGGGTCGCCCGGTGCCAGCCGCCCCGTCCCGCAGCCATGGCGAACCACCTGCGCTTCGTGGGCCGCACGGTGATGGTGCAGAACGGGAACGTGGAGGCGGCGTACGGCGTCCTGAACAGGTGAGCACCGGGGGAACCGCGGGGTCTCACCCCGGAGACCCCCGATTCCTTCACGCACTGCGTTCAGAAGCAGAATTTCTGGAGCAGAAGGTGACGGGAGGGTCGTGCCGGGCTTTTCTCATGAGCTCCAAGTGTGCTCGGCTCGGCTGCGAGCAGAGTGAAAGAAAGGAAAATTCCTCGGGAAGCGCAGGAGGAGGCGGTGCCATCGCCGAGCTCTGTGCTCACACACCGTCCTAAATCCCACCTTAAACGGAGCTCGGCGCCTTCCTTCCCCTCCTCGCTCTCCTCGTGGGTGGACGGCGAGGAGAACGAGCCGAGGGCCCGGCCGGGAACCGAGCCGAGAGCCCGCACCGGGGACCGAACCGAGAGCCCGCACCGGGAACCGAGCCGAGGGCCCGCACCGGGACCGAGCCGAGAGCCCGCACCGGGACCGAGCCGAGGGCCCGGCCGGGGACCGAGCCGAGGGCCCGCACCGGGGACCGAGCCGAGGGCCCGCACCGGGGACCGAGCCGTGCCAGGGCTGGCTGTTCCTCGCTCCTCGCCCGTTCCCTGCCGCTGTCAGCGCTCTCTCCGTCCCCCCCCGCAGGATCCTGGCGCAGGACGGCGTGGCCGATGCGGTGCGGCGCTCCCGGTACTACGAGAAGCCGAGCCGGGCGCGGCGGCGGCGGGCGTTCGAGGCGTGCCGGCGGGTGTACTGCGCCGAGATGGCGCGCAGGATCGCCTTCCTGACAAGGAGCGCTCGGCAGGACCCGTGGCCGGGCTGCTGAGGGGGAACCGGCCGCAATAAAAACCCTCTGGCTCTGATCTCCGTTAATTGAGTTTGGTTAATGACGGCGTGAGGGGAGAGAGGGGGGCGTGGTCGGTGGGCGGGGCTGAGCGCGCGCGCCCTCCGGGGCCCCTCCCTTCCCGGCGTCCCCGCCGCGCACGCGCCGCGCGCCCGTTTCCGCTTCCGCCCCGACGCGCCGTCACCGTCAGGGGCCGCCGGGCCGGGACCGGGACCGGCGTGAGGGAACGGCGCCGGTGAGGAAAACTGGGTGGCCTCGGAGGGCGTGGAGGGAACGGGGATAAGCGGGCGGGCTGCCGAGAAGGAGGGAGGGAGGCGCTGGCGGAGGTGGCGCCGGGCCCGGCCCGCGCGGAGCCGCTCGCCCGGCGCGCCGCGCTGAGGGGGCCGGGCCGGGCCGGGCCCCGGGCGGAGCTCGGCGGCAGCGGGGCAGGCCGGGCCCTGCGGGGCCGCTGGGGTGCGCGGCAGCGGGCTCGGCGGGAGCTCCGTCCGTCCGTCCGTCCGTCCGTCCGAGGCCGAGGCAGGCGGCGGAACCCCGGCGCGGTCGGGCGGTGCTCGGCCGCGTTCATTGATGCTGATGTGGGTCTCGGGGGTTGTGTTTCCCCGGCGCTGCGGGTGCTGGAGCTGCTCCCCACGGTGGCTGTGCTCTGTTCGCGGTGTGACACCGGATCCGCCGTGAAGTGAAGCTGCTGCTTCCCCGGCAGCTCTTGCTGGAGATGTGCTCGTGTGGAGGCTGAACCGGCTCTAATTGCAGGAGTTTTGTGGTTTATTATTATTTATTACGGACGTTCTCAGAGCTATTGATGTGTCCGGGCTGTGATTTGTTAGTTCTGCTTGTCCTTAGGCTCTGCAGGCTCAGAACTCGTGGGGGAAACGCCAGGATCCGGGTTTGGGCTCTATTTGAACCTGTCTCTAAGGAAGCTGCCAGGAAAAGCAGAACCTGCAGAGGTTTCCAGGCTCTGCAGGGAGCCCAGGCCCTGCAGGAAGCAGCAGTCACCTCCTGGAACTGCTCATGGACCTGAAATCAGGGGCTGTGTGTTAGGGCTGACCCCAGGACCCCATTCCCAGGAGGGATAACTGACCCCATTCTCAGCTCCAGGAGGGAAAACTGACCCCAGGACCCCATTCCCTGTTCCAGGATGGATAACTGACCCCATTCCCAGGAAGGAAAACTGACCCCAGGACCCCATTCCCTATCTCAGGAAGGATAACTGACCCCATTCCCAGCTCCAGGAGGGAAAACTGACCCCAGGACCCCATTCCCTATTCCAGGAAGGATAACTGACCCCATTCCCAGGATGGATAACTGACCCCCCAGGACCCCATTCCCTATCTCAGGAAGGATAACTGACCCCATTCCCAGCTCCAGGATGGATAACTGACCCCCCAGGACCCCATTCCCTGTTCCAGGAAGGATAACTGACCCCATTCCCAGGAAGGAAAACTGACCCCAGGACCCCATTCCCTATCTCAGGAAGGATAACTGACCCCATTCCCAGGACGGATAACTGACCCCCCAGGACCCCATTCCCTATTCCAGGAAGGATAACTGACCCCATTCCCAGGACGGATAACTGACCCCCCAGGACCCCATTCCCTATTCCAGGAAGGATAACTGACCCCATTCCCAGGACGGATAACTGACCCCCCAGGACCCCATTCCCTATTCCAGGAAGGATAACTGACCCCATTCCCATTCCCAGGATGGATAACTGACCCTCCAGGACCCCCAGGGCTTCTCCCACCCATGGAGCTGATTGTAGGAATGGGCCCCCCACAATTGATGAAGTGACTGAATTATCCTTTATCTCCTAAAAAAAGGGAAAAAAGCCCCAAAGTTTCTTTTTTTTCCTGTTAGGTAAAAGGACAGTTCATAAGACTTTAAGGACTTCACCTCAAACTTAAGGACAGAAGGCAAAAGGTCTTGTCTAGGCAATTAATGAGAAAAATAAGAGAACAAAGGAACTAATTGCCAAAAGGTCTTGTCTGAGCAATTCACTAGAAAAAGAAGCAACTAATTGCTTTTGTGGGGTGTTTTACTAAGAGCCTCTTGCCCCTAGCTGGAGTTTTTTTCTATAAAGAGCTTTGTTATTTTCCCTTTTATTAAAACTTTTCAGTTCCCAACACCACCACAGAAACCACCCTGGTGATTTTACACCACCTACAGCAGCAGGGCTACCTCAAATGCGACACGTTTCTCCAAAAACTCATCTCGAAGAGATCCATTTGTGTCAGGAGATGACAGCCAGGGCCCTGTTTGCTGTTTCTCCTTGCAGCAGGAGCAGAGATGTCGCTGTCCAAGCGCGAGCTGGACGAGCTGAAGCCATGGATCGAGAAGACGGTGAAGCGTGTGCTGGGCTTCTCCGAGCCCACCGTGGTCACTGCAGCACTCAACTGCGTGGGCAAGGGCATGGACAAGAAAAAAGCAGCTGGTATGTCCAGAGCTGGGCTTGGAAAACAGCTCCAGACCTTGCCAGGGTGGAGGGGCAGGGGCACAGGGGGGTTCTGTCAGCCTCCCTGAGGTGAGGAGGGGGAATCTGTCAGAGCAGACTCAGCTCAGGGATTGGGATGGGTTAAAAAACACAAGTAAAAGTTAATTCCTCATCCAAGGAACTGGAAATGGTAATGGAAAACAGCCCCAGACCTGGCCAGGGTGGAGGGACAGGGGCACAGGGGGGTTCTGTCAGCCTCCCTGAGGTGAGGAGGGGGAATCTGTCAGAGCAGACTCAGCTGGAGGCCTTGGGGTGTGTTAAAAAGTCTCATAAATAAAAATTAATTCCTTATTCAAGGAACTGTAAAAGGTAATTTTTGTACTGTGCTTTTTTTGCCCATTACAGCCCTGCTTTGCTTCTCCCTTAATCCTTTAGTTTAAAGCTCCTGACAAGATGATCCACAGATCCCAGAGGCTTCCAGGCCTCCCTGTGTTTGTAGACTTGAATCCCACTTAAATTTAAGTGGTTTCCATCTTCCAAGGAATCTCTGGATTCTCCATCCTCTTGCTCGCCTCGAGCTCAGAATTCTGCACTGATGGGATTTTCCTCTTTTGCAGACCACCTTAAACCCTTCCTGGATGACTCCACCCTGAGATTTGTAGACAAGCTCTTTGAGGCAGTGGAGGAAGGACGAAGCTCCCGGCACTCCAAATCCAACAGCGACCGGAACCGGAAGCGGGAGCTCAAGGTGATTATTGATTATTAATTATTGATTATTGATTGGCTTTTTCCTATGGTTGGGTGGCCTGGAGGCAGCACTGGTGCTCTGGCACACTCTCCTCTTCCAGAGAGGTACAGCTCAGAACGTTCAAGAGAAACGACTCCTCTCCATGATGAAGTGTGGGAGCCTTTACCTTGTGGTTCTCTTTCCCAAAGCCAAGGTGGAAGCCTGGCTTTGGCTTTCTCTTAGGCTGCTGGATGAATCCATGGGGATCCATCTCCCTTCTCCTCCTTGTGCTTGTATCTTTATTTGGAGCCTGGGAGAGCTGCTCCCAGTGACGTCCCATCGCTCCCTGTGCTCTGACGCAGCACCTGGGGCTCTGTGGTGGATGATCTGGTGGGTTTTCATCCCCTTTCTCCCACCCAGAATCAACAGTAGGTGGTTTTTGGCAACTCCTGTCCCAGCACAGGACTGATTCCAGCTGGGACTCCATTGCTCTGGTGTTTCTCCCTTGCCTGGGATGCTGGAAGGCTTGTGCATCCCGAGCTGTTTTCACTTCCTGTCTTCTCTTAAGGACTTTTCTCACCATCCTGTAGAATTCCATTTTGCCATCACTCTGCCAAGTCTGACAGGCCCTCTCCATGCTGCTCCTACTCACAGTGATGTTCCTTTCACTCTTCTGAGGTTCCTATTTTATGGCAGTCTGGGTTTCCCCAACACTTGTAGTCAGCACTGAACCTCGGTGAGCCAGAGCGGTCCTGTTCAGGATCTGGATCTCTTTGGGAGTGCTGGGACAAGCTTCCTCCACTCCTCATTTTCCTCTAGGAACTTCTTTTCTTCCCTCCATGGCAGTGTGTGCTGAGCTGGTCCCTGGGGCTGTGGGAATGTGAGGGTTGAGTGGGGCTGGAGGTCCAAGTGCTCCCCTGGGCATGGCAGACGTGGGGACATTGGCAGTGCCACCACTTGATGATGGCAGGAGTGTGGTGACAGCCTGCTGGGGAGAGCAGGTGTTGGCAGAGGGATCTGGTGATGGCAGCAGGGATCTCTCACTGACAGAGGGATTTGTGATGGCAGCAGGGATCTCTCACTGGCAGAGAGATCAGGTGATGGCAGCAGCAGCAGGGCTGGGGCTGCAGCACGGGACCCTTCCCCAGTGAAGCCACAGGGGTGTCTGGCCTGAGCACTGCTGGTGTTCCTGGCTGAGCCAGAAGTTGGGTTAGGCAGCAACAGCAGAAACTGATCCTCCTTCTCTTGGCTCCTGGCATGGAGAGAGGTGTTCCTCCTGCCAAATCCTCGCTCTTCTCTGGAATCCCATTTCTTGGAACTCGTCCATCTTGCTCTGGGTCTGTCTGGACCCTGCAGGAACACAGACATCTCTGAGGTGGTCAGGCCATGGCAAGACTTGCAGACTGACTGACCCTGCCCCAGCACAGGCTGTGGAGAGGGATTTCTCCTGGCACCTGTAGACCCCAGAGCGTCGGGCAGTGATGGTTCCCAGGGCCGCTTGCCGCTCCTCGGTTCACTCTGGGGTAGGTCATGGCTTGGGAAGGTCAGGAACTGAACGTAAAGTTTCCACACTTTATACTATGGGCAAGTCCTTTCTCTTGAACTTGTAGGTTTTCCAAGAAGTACCTGTGTGGCTGAGGAAGTGTCCTTGTAGGATATGAACCGTTGTAGTGAAGAAGGGATTGCAACTAACGCTCCCAACCGGTGTGTATATTTTCTTTTCAAATAACACCTTGACACACACACTACAGTAACCCACGGCACGGACACATCCAGGTTTCCACACACAAACCAGGCACTGATGATGGAATCCACAGCTGCTGGGCTGGGCCTGAGCAGAGCTCTGTGGAAAATGTGCCTTTTG